TACATCACGATAGAGTATAATTCTAAGCTACTATATTTCACACTTAAGTTTAATGCTTAGTTACTATACCTCACGAGTATAATTCTAAGCTACTATATTTCACACGTAAGTTTGATGCTTAGCTACTATACCTCACGATAGAGTATAATTCTAACCTACTATATTTCACACTTAAGTTTGATGCTTAGTTACCAAACCTCACGATAGAGTATAATTCTAACCTACTATATTTCACACTCAAGTTTGATGCTTAGCTACTTTACATCACGATAGAGTATAATTCTAACCTACTATATTTCACACTTAAGTTTAATGCTTAGTTACTATACCTCACGAGTATAATTCTAAGCTACTATATTTCACACTTAAGTTTGATGCTTAGCTACTGTACATTATACTAGTATTTTACGCTTAGTTATTGAACCGCAAACTGATGCTTAGTACTTTACCATGTTACACTATACCATACACATACATGTAGGTTACCAGACAGTTACTGTACTACAAACTTTCTTTTGATGCTTAGCAACTGAATAATCAACACAGACTTATACTTAGCTGCCATTCGATTCTGAGGTTTGATGCTCATTGACTTTACCTTACACATAACTGCTGTACAAGACAATGAAGTTTAATGCCGATCTACTCTACCTCACACCTACGATTTATACTTAGCTTCTTTACCCCACACTGAGGTGTAATGCTTACATGCTATACATTACACGTACATGTTATACTCAGCCAGTTTTCATTACATTTACATAAAGGTTTAACACTAAGTTACTTACCTTTAATGCTTAGTTAATATACCAGATATACGTGTAGGTTTAACGGACAGTTACTGTACCACAAAACTAAGTTTAATGTTTAATACTAAGCTAATGTAACTCACAATTTTGTTTCATGCTTAACGAATAAACAACATATTTCAGTTTAATGTTTAGTATCTACTGTACCTACAACTTAGATTGAATATTTAGCTACTGTACCTTACCCTTAACTCTTACCTACTGTACCTCTCACTTAGATTGAACACTTAGCTACTGTACCTTACCCTTAACTCTTACCTACTGTACCGTTCACTTATATTCAACACTTAACTACTGTAACTCACATTTAGAAGAAGAAAATTAACGCTTCACTACTGTATCTCATATTTGATTGTATGCTTAGTTACTATATCTCATACTTAAATGTAACGCTTAGCTTCTTTCCCTCATACATATATTTAACGCTTGGCTGCAGTATCTCATACTTAGAATGAACACTACTGTATTTCATACTTTGGTTTGACACTACCTAATCTTTTTGAACTTTAAATATGTACACTCGCAATCAGTAGTTATATGTTTTGTATAATAACTGTTTTGAATTTTCATTGTAGACATAACATCAGCAGCTTAAGCAAAACTACATCATGGAGAAGCATCAATCTCAGTATGGCACCTTGAGATGGTCTCACGGAATCCTCGGAATAGTGCTTATGTTTCTTTTATTTAGCATAATATTTTCATCACTGGTGACGTCCCAATATACTTTTCAGTACATGCTGACGCACATGTATCCGAATTCAAATCTTTCAACCTCGGATGGATCCTCCTGCAATGTAAACACGTCAACAGAGGCGTACCGCGAGAGGACGGCAGCACAGAGGGCTGTCTCACAACTGAATATTTACACAAAAGTGGCTGAGGCTGTACCCGCTCTCATAATCACAGGGGTCATGGGCGGTCTCGGAGACCGGTTTGGAAGGACAAGGATTCTAATCTTTACGACATCGTTAACATTTCTTTCTATTTGTGTTTCTAGTCCTATCATTTATTTTGAGATAGACGTTTATTATTTCTTAATCAGCAGCACGCTGTATAGTTTAGGGGGTGGTATATATGGTGCTCTGTCTATTGGTTTTGCTTACATTTCGGATGTAACAAGTCCTGGGAAGCAGCGAACCCTGATGATAACTCTTCTTGAAGCTTCAATAGGAATAGGTGCAGCGATATCTGGGTTAGTTTCCGGTTTCATTATTGAGGGTGTTGGCTACTTCTATTCAAATATATGCGCAGGCGCAGTGGCAGCCGGTTCCGTGTTGGTGGTTGTGTTGTTTCTGCCACCTTCACGTTCTCCTCATATTTCTGTATCAAGAAAATCAAATCTTGAAAATTCACGTGCAGCATTTACTTTTTATTTCCAAGCATCTCCTATGAGGTACAAATATGTAATTGGAATAATTTCTTTTATGTTCGCGTCGATTTCTCTTTTAGGCAAACAACCAATAGAAATACTTTACCAGCTAAATGCACCGTTTTGTTGGACATCTGTCAAAGTTGGATATTTCTCAGCAATTTCTTATTCTGTCAGCATGATTTTAGGTATGTCCGTTATCAAAGTTCTTCAAATGTGTTTCGTTGAGGAAGTCATCGCCATGTTCAGCGGTATTTCTGGCATGGCAGCTTATATTGTGGAGGCATTTGCCGTGAATGACTTGACGCTGTTCGTAGGTAAGAACGAATTAATTCACACAACTGAATGTTGTAATAATTACACTGTACCAGATATTAGACGATGAGAAATTTGGTGAACGAGAATATGTTCAATCTGTAATACAAAGGAAATCAAAAAGGTCCCAAATCCGCTTACGTTCGCATATCATCACTATTTTAGTGTACACCGCTTCTATCGAGTTATAAACGTACCGGCACGTGCATAATAATTGATCGTATTAATTTTCAATATATATTTCCCTTTTAAAGTTATTGTGCCGTTAACTGCCATAAAACTTTGGTAAAGATTGAAGTCATAACATTGTATACCAAAATTAGGGTTGCAGCCATAAATCATGAGATGTAATAGGAGCGGAATCCAACGAGTGGCGACTATGTCTTCTCCTGGATCAGTGATAATGTTCAACCAATGAACGTGCTGAGTGTTACTCTTAGTCGATTAAGTTCTCTGTAAACTAAAAGCCTAACAACTCCATCGGTCAAAGACATCACCGATGTTTACTTTCACTGCTGATTTCTTTTCTCGCCTATTCTGTTTGCCTGACTGGTCGACCACGTTTTAGCATGGACGTCGCCGTTACAGCGTACGTTTCTGCGCAAGCATGACATTATGTAAAATTATATCATTCTTAAAGTTACGGTAATAAGAAAAAAGGTTAGCGGCACGGTATCTTAAAACAATAAATGATGTTATTGATCACTTTATTTGACAAACAGTTGCAAAGATTAAACGTCTGATTAATCGTAAACGTCGGTCACATTTTCAAAATATGCAAAATTAGTTTCTTTTTTTTTTGTAGCCGGTTTTTATGAGCGTATAGTAAGAATCAGTGCCCGGTACACTGGAGCTTGCCTGTAGCTACATACATTTTATAAATACCCTTTCATTTGATTTTCTATGTATGCATTTGTTACATTTGTAATGCAATATTTCTGTTAGATTTTAATCAACAAATTTGTTGTTATGATATTTCCCATTAAGACCCTATTTTAACCCTTGCACTGGTTGCTCTGTTCATATTGACCTGGGGATTTGTGACAGAAGGTGTGTTTTGCTCTGTCCATATTGACCTGGGGATTTGTGACAGAAGGTGTGTTTTGACCTTTTCTAACGTGCAGAGTTAAATACTAGACATATTCCATAGAGTTTTTAGGTGCTCCAGCAAGAATAGGCAAAAAGTGATACACTCAGATCTGTAATTTGAATTACAAGAAAATTAGGTTGGGTCGACTTTTGACATCAATTCGTTCATGCCTTGTTTACAAGACCTAGTCGTTCGTAGCCTTAAGTGATAACTCTAAAAAGCATATATTTAGTTCTTACAGTATGTCCTAACTTTCTTTTATCTTCTCTAGTGTTTCTAATGTCTGTTATTTTTCAGTTCCTGTCATAGGATTCATCAGTGTGTTAGTATTCCCAATGATCAGATCAATGTTATCCAAACTGACGCCGGCGGACGGACAAGGTATTTGGTTCATGACAATCCTAGATTATATCAATTGTTTTAAACACATTTTATTCCTATTTGCAATGGGATTAGAGACAAGATATCGCAACTAATGAAGCCTTTTCCCGGAAATATTTTACATAATGTACCTGGCAACATTAACAATAAAATTTACACAAATCATTAATGAGAGTGAAAAAGACGAAAAAAAGAAAGAGAGTAAGAAAAAGAGAGAAATAGTTTAAATACATGAATGTTTTCTCCCAGAGACAAATTTGGAATATCATTGAATAGCTAATATAAGTTTATAATACCATCTATAGATAACGAGCGTAATGGTAATCGACTTTCTTATTCATGTTGATTGCAATCGAAAAAAAATGAAGTGAAGTGACCAAGACGGTTTTTATATAGTTTATCAACTACAATTATATGTTGAAATATGAAAAATATATATGTTTCGAAGCAGATATATTTCATTTCATCGGAATACATTTATGCCACAATATATGAAAGTAAATGTCAGTAGAATTCTGTCTATCTGATTATTTGTACTAAACGTTCTGCATATTTAAACATCACATTATTTGTCATCGTAGGTATCATACCTTTTCCATTCTAGGTGCTCTATTCGCGGGAATAGCCGTGGTGGAAATAGCATCAAGTCTGGGAGCAAATTTAGGGGCGTCGGCCATCTACATAGCTACTGTTGGCACCATGCGGGGTTTCGTCTTCCTGGTATTTGCCGGTCTATCGTTTCTAACCACATGTCTATTACTGTAAGTATACAGGGTCCCTGTTAATGTTTATTCTATACCTGGTTTTCCTGTAACCAACTTCAATGTTGTCTCATGTTTTTGTAACATTTTGTATTTGTAAGTATGATGGTTTTGCTTGACAAAACTCTATCGTGTAGATTTGTCAATCCATGGTACCGTTTCGGTATCGTATCTTGATAAATTCCATCAATTCCATCAAGTGTCGATATGAGTTTTCCTGTTCATGGTACTGTTTCTCGATAGTCTAATACACAATAATCTTGAAGTAAGTTCCTTTAAACATGGTATCTGTTCTTCTTAAATTAAATGTATGCCATGATCATGAAGTCTCGTGAGACTTTATTTTTCAAATTGAACTACGACAGAGGAAAGCATTATGAAGTTCTATATAAATCTGGGTAAAGCCAAACACTGTATTTATCAAATTGATATTAATCTCGGATCAAAATTCAGTGCTTAGTTCAATTGGAATGTGATCTTCTAAATTTCCATTCATATATTTGGTAAGTAATAAGCCGAAATATGAAATAAGCTAAAAGATATAATATTTTACAGTATTCTTCCTTGCCTAATATCAAGTTCCATATTCTCTCACATTTACTGGAAAGTTAGTTTGAGCAAATACTCCAGGTTTCTTCATGGGACCTGATTTATTATTACGCTGCCAACTATTCTGTTAGCGTTCCCTGAACAAGTGGTACCATCCATTACGCGTCCTCTATAACACAGAAAAAAATGTTGGTCTCGTGGATCAATTACAGAGTTTGAGCATCAACTTTTGTGGCTTGCCCAGTGTTTCAAGTCCTAACAAATCACCTCGTATGCAACACCTGGGATAACTGTCGTTCTCCTAAACAGTTCCGGGAACTGTTCTGTGTGTACTACACAGTGAGAATCATTTCTACATTTTAAATATTCGTAAAATGGGCAACACGCAAAAATGTATCAATTTAATAACAAGGCGATTTTTTTATTACTGTATTCCAGGGTTTATCGTATAACATCTGGAATGTCGAAGACAGCACCGTTAGCTGAGGTGACCAAAGACATTACTGGTACCCAGGTAGTCGAGGCGGACGTGGAAAACTGAGGATAGTTTTATTAAGTGGAAGCACATGTTGCATCAACATTAATCTAGCAGTTCATATTAATTATGTTCTCAAAAAGGAAACCCGAATTATGAAACGACATGACTGACTGCCACACACAGACAGTGGAAACGGACGTGACGAAGGAGACTTGAAATTTATAATCAGGGCTGGTGTCTTTCTGTCTGTGATATAACCTCAAACTGTAGCTTTTCTTATGTCGATGTCATATTAGATTGTTCTTGAAAGGTAATATATAACACAGTATGAACGCAGTCAAGGTCAATTTCAATTTCAACAAATTTTATTGACAATATGAGCAATAGTCAATAGGATCAGACATCAGGCATAGCCTATCTAAGTCCTCTCCTTAAAGTGACACCAGGTGGTAAGAAACACAGACATATATTTGTACATTGATATGATGTTTGGGATAAGGGGAAGTAACTCCTTGATGTAAACAGACTTGTTCAGTATTCTTGAGATATAGTAACCCTTTCACTAGGGATATTTAATTTGAGATATTTACTAGACTATTATCTTCAGTGAATAGTATCAAGTATCTGACAATGAGTTACTGGTATTCATATAAGGTAAACTGTTGGGTATAAATATTTGGTGATATTGGATTTATTCCCTCAACAGATACAGGCCATACAGTCCATATGTATAACACACTAGCCATCACACACTGTTAAGGATCAAAAGCCAATTTCAGCAAATAGATATATAATTTGTAAGTAGGGCGACACCAACTCCTGTAAGTAAAGTAGTAATTCTTTAGTTAAATTGAAAGGAGTTACTCCATATCTTGATGTAAGCTTAAAAAAGAAGAAGAAAATAGAAAACATAAAAAACACAAGAAAAAAACACAAAAAAACCACAAAAATACACACAAAAAAAACAAAAAACCCCAAAAAAACAACAACATCTAAGCTGCCCAGAGTCAATTTCATTCAATAGGTGTATATACCAGCTAAATTAGTAATTATCAAAGGTAGAATAAAGTATCTAATTAATTCCATATTATATTACATTAGATATATCTTGTACTACTATATCGTTGTAGTTCACTGTGGGAGGTATAAAGTTTTTTATACATATAACTTGAATGAAAATAAAAATAATGAAAAAAAATGAAAAAAAATTAATAATAATATATTAGAATGTAAGAATGTATAACTATGTTCCAAAAAATAGTAAGGGTAAGTCAAATATTATATTAATGAAAATCTTTTTGATTGTGATATAAAGTTTGATACATGAGATAAGATATCTCTATTTTGTAAATCATTACAACTATTACAACCATTTATTAGGACATTTATACACAGATGATTGTGAGTGTGATGATTCAAACTCCGTTGGAGAGTCTGGCGAATATTATTATATTGATTACATTCAGAAAAATAATGTGCAGCAGTTTCGAAAGATCCGTTACACTCACACATTGGAGATTCAATTAAGTGATCTTTATAACGATCATAATTTAGATTACTAGCATTATTTCTTAATTGGCAAAGTATAATGTTTACATCACGATTGCCAAAGTATTTAAAAACATCATTTGTTTCAGATTTCATATATTGCTTTGTAGTTAGTAACCTTTTTAACTGTGTGGTAGATTGGATGCTAGTAATATCTGGGGCAAGTCTATTCATTTCATTTAGCATGGACGGAAAAAAACTTTCAAAATATTTTACAGTACGACATAAAGGGGGATCAAATAATCTGTTTGTTCGGAGGGGATATCTGTCAAGGGTTTCATCATGAATATATGGTTGAATAATTTCTCTTAGGTAATCTGGGGTTTCATTATTCATTATTCTATACATTAAAATTAGTTTATGTTTATTTCTTCTGCAGCTCAAAGTTTCCCATCCTAATTCCTTGTATAATTTATCATGTGATGTCCCTCTACGTAAACCTGTAATTAATCTTGCAGCCTCTAATTGTATTGATTCTAATAGTTTTTTTTGAGCTAGTGTGCAATTGTCCCACACAACATCTGCATATTCAATAACTGGTCTTATGTAGGATATATATAAGGTTGTCAAGGATTTTCTATCAATTTTATTTTTTAGTAACCTTAAGATATTTATTCTTTTAAATGCTTTTTCATATATATTAGATATGTGTTGGTTCCATTTGGCATCATCACTAAGTGTAAGGCCCAGATGTGTATGTGTTTTGCTTTCAACAATTGGTGCGTCATAAAAATTAACAATAGGATGATTCTTATTAGTTTTCCTTGAGAAAATTACAGATTCAGTTTTAGAAGGATTAAATTTAATGTCCCATTTAGTGGCCCACAGCTTAATATTACTCAAGTCATTGGAAAGATTTTGTGCCAATTCAATGGGATTATTATCACATATACCATAGAGAGAGGTGTCATCTGCAAATAATTTAATTTTACTGGAAACACAATCAACAATATCATTTATATATATTAAAAACAATAACGGACCGAGGACTGAGCCTTGTGGAACCCCTGCTTGAACAGGGTCAAAGGTTGATGTATAACCTTCAGTTAGTACTCTCTGCTTTCTGTCTGATAAAAAGTTACGAAACCAATTTAAAAGATTACCTTTAACACCATATGATTCCAACTTGTAAAGCAGACCATTGTGCCAAACTCTATCAAAAGCCTTGCTTATGTCACAGAATATAATTCTGATTTCTTTATTTTGATCTAGGCAATTAACAATGGTATGGTAAATAGACAATAATTGATTTACAGTTGAATCTTTAGGTGTAAAGCCAGACTGGTGTTTTGTAATGATTTTATATGTACTGAGGTAATTATATAGATATTTGAAAACGATTTTTTCTAACATTTTACTAAAACATGAAGTAACAGAGATTGGTCTGTAATTAGACACCTCATTAACTAATCCTTTACCTTTATAAATAGCGTTAATATTAGCCATCTTCCAGCTGAGGGGGATAATACCAGTTTCAAGTGTTTTGTTAAATAGAAGAGTTAGAGGAAAGAGAATAGATGGATGTAATTGTTTGATTATTCTGGGAATCATATCATCTGGTCCAGCAGGTTTATTAACATTCAAAAGAAATAGCTGATCTTTAACATCCTGTTGGGTTATAACAATATCATTTATGGAATTAGGAAAATCATTAGTAGTTTCAGGTATAGGTTCAGTATTTTCAGAAGTGGTAGATATTGATGCAAAGTATTTATTTAAGCATTCAGCTTTGTCAAATGGATGTTGAATAAATGAATTATTGTGTGTTAGTGGGGGAATAGAAGTAGATTTGTTGTTTATATTAAGGACATTTCGTGCAATTTTCCACCACTTGTTAGGGGGAATAGTTTTGTCGGTTAATGATTTTTGTAAATTTTCAACATACTTTTTCTTGGCATCACGTATTCTACTAATGGTTTCATTTCTTTTTTTTCTATAATTTTCCCAGTGAAAAGCCGAATTACTAGATTTTGCTTTCCTATGAGCCCTATTTCGTTGTCTTATATGTAGTCTAATATCATTAGTCATCCATTTTTTATCATTTGGTCTAATTGTTACATATTTAGTGGGTATAGATTCATTAATTAAGTGCTTTATTGTATCACATAAAATATTGTTAAATTCATTTGTATCATGTATATTGATAAGGTTTTCCCAATCTTTTTCTAAAATACATCTATTCATCTGATCATAATCTGCATCTTGATAAATAAGAATTTTCTTTCGATAGGTTTGTTTTTTAAAAACTGCATAGGAAATGTTAAATTGTATCAGAGAATGGTCACTACATATAGGAGGAAGCACAGATGCATTTTTAACTATATTTCTGTTGTTGGAAAAGACAATATCAATTGAAGTTGATGAAGTTGGAGTGATACGAGTGGGGTCTGTGATAAAATTAGAAAGATTAAATTTTGTTATTAGTCTACCAAGGTGCGAGTGGGGTTGAAGATTTAACATATTGATATTAATATCACCAGTGATCACTATATCTAAGTTAGTGTTCACAGCTTTTTCAATGACTGAATCTAAGATTTCCCAATATCTAACTGGTGATTCTGGTCTATATAGACAAGCCAGAAGAAACTTGTGCGACTCAATGTGAATTTCCACCCATATCATTTCAACTTCATCATGTTCAAGATCATGTCGTCTTTTGGTGAAAATGTTATTTTTGTGATAGATTAAGACCCCACCACCAGGACCAGTTTTTCTATCCAGCCTATAAAGATTTTCAGAGTAACATGGAATTATTAGTTCAGTATTAGGTATTTCAGGGGTGAGGTGTGTTTCGGTTAGGCAGATAATATCACTTTTATTTAATTCGGTTTCAACAATATCTGTCTTGTTTCTTAAGGATCTTATATTGAGATGAGAAATTTCTAGGTTACGCAGAGGACCTGGGTTTAACTCAATATCATTACAGCTGATTAATAAAATACTTGTCACATAGAGAAAAAAAAGTAAGTTTTTCAGATTGTGTGTATTCAGGGAACATTTATACACGATATGTACATAATAGTACACGGTTGAATTAGTCATACAACCCCTAATGTTCCTACATGTCCCATCACGTGATATGCCTATTACTGTTTTAACCATTGTCATATATCGTTATAAAAAACACTGTGACGTGAACGTGAAAAGGACACATGATATAGCGAGTACATAACGTTACATACAATAATTTGGAGGCTGGGCAAGCATAGATGTACATTAACGCAGTCAAGGTCGTTAAATTAAACATTGGTGATGTGTTTAGTGTATGTTTAATATACATTTGAATAAAAGCATTCAACATTAAGCAGCGACTGTTGTTATCATTTAACACTTCTGCAAAAATTACAGGGTTCTGTTTATAATTATCAGTTTTTGGTGGTTTTTTATTTCAGAATTTAAATTTGTACATGTAAAAAAAACCACTTAAACTTTGGAATTTATGAAAGTCATAGCGATGTTTTTTTTAGGTGACAGGGTCATGTGATGTATTAATTTGTGGCTATTTTTAGCAGCCTTTTAAGAAGGTGCAAACTGGACTCATGTCAATGGCCTGCGGAAAATATTGCGGTTTTTTGTTGTTGTTTTTTTAATTTTTAATTTAAAAAACAACAAAATGTGGAGAAAATGTCTTTAAGTTTTGTATAATGTGACTAGATTGTTTCCAAATTTTTATTAGTAAGTCACAGACAAATGTAGTTGTGATTTGATATAGCTTTGTGAAACGCCTTGACTGCCCGTCCCAAGGTTCATGAAGAAATTTTGGATTTGATCGTGACCATCAGGTACGAGGTTTTCAGGACTCTAGGACATAATAAGGACCGATATGTTAAAACTGTTATAATTCGGACATGAATGGCATCATTAGGACAGGTATGCTATACTTGGTATATTTGGTATGATATTTTAGAGAATTAGGACATACTAGGACAATTCTGACCTATTTAGGACAGCTATGGCATACTGAAGAAACATCATGTGGGTAACATATACGTTAAAAGACGGGCATAACTTTGTCGTTTGTCAAGTTGTCCATCCATTAGAGACATTTACTACTAAGATATTGACCGACCAGAAATCAGATAAATTTAAGGCCCTGATGAGTCCAAAATATACAAAAAAGTCTTTAAGGCACAATGGGATGTTTATTTATTTTTTGACTTTTTACACCGAAAAACTCATTTTGAAATGGATGCGCCCTTACTTCATATTTGCAGTAAATGTGTTTACGTAACAAGGTCAGTTGTTACTGCTGGTGGACTATCTGGCTCGATTTGGCCATAACCTTGTACATTAAATTTATTCTGGCACGGAGCACATGGAACCCTAGTTTTAGAATAAATTATCAATTGTAGCCAAAACCTTTACATTTTTAATGTTAAAAATAGATTTACTTTTACA